TCGCTTTTCAGCCTTTCAAAGTAGATAAAGGAGTACCCCATTGCGAAAAATAACAGGAGGCTTCACTATGCGCTTTCTACATAGCAATAGCTACTACCTTAAGGGCCCAAAGGCATTCTAGTCTGATGGCATAGAAATGGAGATCAATACAGCAGATTACACTACATTAAAATAAGAGTTACAAATGGTGCCTATCATGCACAGGAAACCGTCATCCCAACTGTTTTCACGCGTGCCATTTTTTCGTCATGTGAATTTATAGCTTCTTCTGCTCAAACCAGTACCGTGTCTCAGACAACTGTACGCGAAAACTGTTTTGTTTTTTATTTCTATGCTTACATCTTGTACTGATTTTCTGTTATCAATCAGGTGGACCAAGGCGAATTACAGTCGAAAGACACACACATAAGAGAGCATGATCGTATGTCATGCAATGCTTTGGCAAATATGATACCAAAGAGTCATGCTATTCAATGGTCAGTGGACTGCTATCAGTTTTTCAGCTGGATGTAATGAAACATATTGGGGTGAATTCCTTGCTAAAGAGAATTAGCAGTTAATAAGAGGAACTCTTAGATCGCGCTTGTTGTTTTTCGGCATTTCTAAAGTGCAAAGCAAATTACTGACCCTCTTCCCCAGAATATTCCTTTAGATTCTACAGCACAAAAGTTAAGAAAAGTTCTTTATGTAATACTAATCTGACCTTTCGACCGAATGGAAATTCATATAACGCATGCATTTCATGATATTAATGAAAACAAATTTTGGACTGTACCACGGTGTTAAAGCAACAATTAGAATGCAACAGCCTTCCATATAATGTGAAGGCGAAGGAACCTTCGGCAACGCATGTACTAAGAATGACGAGAAATGCCATCTCACTGCAACTGCTCCTACTTTCACAGGATTTGTATCCTGTGTCCCAGATGTTAAGATCCTCAATACTGAAACGTGAGAAACTTTACTACTGCCAAGCGAAGTAATGATATGATCAGTGTATGCTAAACCGAATGCAGGTTTCAAGCGGAGCATTCGACGTACCGTTAACTACTGAATCTATAAATATCATCGTTTTGTTACTGAATCGGCAGGAGCTTCAGAAAACATGGAGATCTCAGTCTTTCGTCATTCTTATCAGTGGGCAATACCGCAATATTACTATAAATCATGTAATAAGACCTAGACGTTAGCATTTAATGAGTTTCATGCTGTACTTTATCAATGAGTAAACAACGGTCGCTGCAGCGACGGATTTGCAGGAAATTATACGACAATGTCGAGCGTCATGCGCCGAATTTTTTTCGAGGATGCAAATGACCTAAGTTAAACATTAAACTCCCTTGGACTGCAATAATCATAAGGAGTGAATAGTCAATAGATATAGGTTGTGAAACAGAGTGAAAATAAAGTCGTAAAGATCTAACTGATACAGGTACATGAAGATGACCTTTGTTTCTACTACCGTTCAGACCGAATAATATCGGACATCAACACCTGCAACAGGTCGCTTTTCACTGCTCATTTCAAATTTCCAACTTATTCATTATGATACAGTGACAATTTTCCAGTCTGACTCAACCATATTTTGTTACAGAGATAAATTTGACACGATATCTGACATTACTTGGCAAAATGGTACCCTTCAAATTCATTACGACTGTCAGCCTCGTCTTCCTCAATAACATATTCAAC